GAAAAAGAAAAAGAAAGAACGACAGAAAGAAAGAACGACAGAAAGAAAGAATGACAGAAAGACAGAACAACAGACAGAAAGACAGAACAACAAAAAGAACGACAAAAAGAAAGAACGAACGACAGAAAGAAAGAACGAACGACAGAAAGACAGAACGAACGACAGAAAGACAGAACGACAGAAAGACAGAACGACAGAACGACAAAGAAAAAGAACGAACGACAGAAAGAAAGAACGACAGAAAGACAGAAAAATAAAAAGAAAGAACGACAAAGAAAGAACGACAGAAAGAAAGAATGACAAAGAACGACAGAAAGAACGACAGAAAGAAAGAAAGAAAGAAAGAAAGAAAGAACGACAGAAAGAACGACAGAAAGAAAGAAAGAAAGAAAGACAGAACGACAGACAGAACGACAAAAAGAAAGAACGAACGACAGAAAGAACGAATGACAGAAAGAAAGAACGACAGAAAGAAAGAACGACAGAAAGACAAAGAACGAATGACAGAAAGAAAAAGACAGAACGACAGAAAGAACGACAAAAAGAACGACAGAAAAAGAAAAAGAAAGACAGAAAGAAAGAAGGACAGAAAGAAAGAAAGAAACAACAGAAAGACAGAACGACAGAAAAAAAGAAAGACAGAACGACAGAAAGAAAGAAAGAAAGACAGAAAGAAAGAAAGAAAGAACGACAGAAAGACAGAACGACAAACAGAACGAAAGAAAGAAACAACAACAGAAAGACAGAACGACAAAGAAAGAACGACAGAACGAAAGAAAGAAACAACAACAGACAGAACGACAGAAAGACAAAGAAAGAAAGAACGAACGACAGAAAGAAAGAAAGAACGAACGACAGAAAGAAAGAAAGAAAGACAGAATGACAGAAAGAAAGAAAGAACGACAATGACAGAAAGAACGACAAAAAGAACGACAATGACAGAAAGAACGACAAAAAGAACGACAATGACAGAAAGAACGACAAAAAGAACGACAGAACGAAAGAAAGAACGACAGAAAGAAAGAAAGAAAGAAAGAAAGAAAGAAAGAAAGAAAGAAAGACAGAAAGGACAGAAAGAAAGAAAGACAGAAAGGACAAAGAAAGAAAGAAAGAAAGAAAGAAAGAAAGAAAGAAAGAAAGAAAGAAAGAAAGAAAGAAAGAAAGAAAGAAAGAAAGAAAGAAAGACAGAAAGAAAGAAAGAAAGAAAGAAAGAAAGAAAGAAAGAAAGAAAGACAGAAAGGACAAAGAAAGAAAGAAAAAGAAAGAAAGAACGACAAACAGAATGAAAGAAAGAAACAACAGAAAGACAGAACGACAGAAAGAAAGAAAGAAAGAAAGAAAGAAAGAAAGACAGAACAACAGAAAGAAAGAAAGAACGACAGAAAGAAAGAAAGAAAGAAAGACAGAACGACAAACAGAACGACGGAACGACAGAACGACAGAAAGAAAGAAAGAACGACAGAAAGAAAGAATGACAGAAAGACAAAGAAAGACAGAACGACAAAGAACGACAGAAAGAAAGAACGACAGAAAGAAAGAACGACAGAAAGAAAGAAAGAAAGAACAACAGAACGACAGAAAGAAAGACAGAACGACAAACAGAACGACGGAACGACAGAAAGAAAGAAAGAACGACAGAAAGAAAGAATGACAGAAAGACAAAGAAAGACAGAACGACAAAGAACGACAGAAAGAAAGAACGACAGAAAGAAAGAACGACAGAAAGAAAGAAAGAAAGAACAACAGAACGACAGAAAGAAAGACAGAACGACAAACAGAACGACGGAACGACAGAAAGAAAGAAAGAACGACAGAAAGAAAGAATGACAGAAAGACAAAGAAAGACAGAACGACAAAGAACGACAGAAAGAAAGAACGACAGAAAGACAGAACGACAAAGAACGAACGAACGAACGACAGAAAAAAAGAGAAAGAACAGAAAGACAGATCGACAGAACGACAGAAAGAAAGACAGAACGACAGAAAGAAAGAAAAAGAACGATAGAATGACAGAAAGAAAGAAAGAACGACAAAGAACGACAGAAAGAACGACAGAAAGAAAGAAAGAACGACAGAATGTAAGAACGACAAAGAAAGAATGACAGAAAGACAGTAAGAACGACAAAGAACGACAGAAAGACAGAAAGAACGACAAAGACAGAAAGAAAGAACGACAGAACGACAGAAAGAACGACAGAAAGAACGACAGAAAGAACGACAAAGACAGAAAGACAGAAAGAACGACAGAACGAACAGACAGACTGACAGACAGACAGAAAGAAAGACAGAAAGACAGAAAGAAAAGAAAGAAAGAAAGATGAATGAACGAACGACATAGAAAGAACGATAGACAGACAGATGGATGGACTAAAGAAAGAACGAACGAAAGATAGATAGATACTCAGACAAAAGGACGGAAGGACAGACGGACAGAACAATAGAACAGATATCCAGACAGATGGACGGATGGTCAGACAGAATTGACAGACATTCAGAATGACAGACAGACGGACAGAACGACAGACAGAACAAAAGATAGATCGACAGATAGACGGACAGACGGAAGGACAGAATGACAAAAGAATAACAGACAGACAGAACAGAATCTGATATCAAGTATATTAAAATGTTTCATTATAACTGAGCAACAGTGGGCAGTGTTGTAGTCGAAATCAGCTCATTCGAGACCCGAGTATATTTAGTTCAAGTTAAGACCGAGGCCAGAAGACAGTCAAGTCTGAACCAAGACCGAGGCCAGAAGAGCATCATGTTCAAATCAAGACCGAGACCAGAAGAGGGTTGAGTCTGAATCAAGACAAAACCAGAATAGGGTCGAGTCCAAATCAAGACAAAACCAGAATAGGGTCGAGTCCAAATCAAGATGGAGACCAGAAGAGGGTCGAGTCCGAATCAAGACGGAGAACAGAAGAGGGTTGAGTCCAAATCCAGACGGAGAAAAGAAGAGGGTCGAGTCTGAATCAAGACGGAGAACAGAAGCGGGTCGAGCCTGAATCAAGAAGGAGACCAGAAGAGGGTCGAGCCTGAATCAAGACGGAGACCAGAAGAGGGTCGAGTCTGAATCAAGACGGAGACCAGAAGAGGGGGGAGCATGAAAGAAGACAAGAGGGTCGAGCCTGAATCAAGACGGAGACCAGAAGAGGGTCGAGTCTGAATCAAGACGGAGACCAGAAGAGGGTCGAGTCTGAATCAAGACAGAGACAAGAGGGTCGAGTCTAAATCAAGATGGAGAACAGAAGAGGGTTGAGTCCAAATCCAGACAGAGAAAAGAATAGGGTCGAGTCTGAACCAAGACAGAGACAAGAGGGTCAAGTCTAAATCAAGATGGAGAACAGAAGAGGGTCGAGTCTGAATCAAGACTGAGACCAGAAGAGGGTCGAGTCTGAATCAAGACTGAGACCAGAAGAGGGTCGAGTCTGAATCAAGACTGAGACCAGAAGAGGGTCGAGTCTGAATCAAGACGGAGACAAGAGGGTCAAGTCTGAATCAAGACGGAGACCAGAAGAGGGTCGAGTCTAAATCAAGATGGAGAACAGAAGAGGGTCGAGTCTGAATCAAGACTGAGACCAGAAGAGGGTCGAGTCTGAATCAAGACGGAGACAAGAGGGTCAAGTCTGAATCAAGACGGAGACCAGAAGAGGGTCGAGTCTGAATCAAGACTGAGACCAGAAGAGGGTCGAGTCTGAATCAAGACTGAGACCAGAAGAGGGTCGAGTCTGAATCAAGATTGAGACCAGAAGAGGGTCGAGTCTGAATCAAGATTGAGACCAGAAGAGGGTCGAGTCTGAATCAAGATTGAGACCAGAAGAGGGTCGAGTCTGAATCAAGATTGAGACCAGAAGAGGGTCGAGTCTGAATCAAGATTGAGACCAGAAGAGGGTCGAGTCTGAATCAAGATGGAGACCAGAAGAGGGTCGAGTCTGAATCAAGATGGAGACCAGAAGAGGGTCGAGTCTGAATCAAGATGGAGACCAGAAGAGGGTCGAGTCTGAATCAAGATGGAGACCAGAAGAGGGTCGAGTCTGAATCAAGATGGAGACCAGAAGAGGGTCGAGTCTGAATCAAGATGGAGAACAGAAGAGGGTCGAGTCTGAATCAAGATGGTGAACAGAAGAGGGTCGAGCCTGAATCAAGATGGGGCACAGAAGAGGGTCGAGCCTGAATCAAGAGAGGGTAGAGTCTGGATCAAGATGGTGAACAGAAGAGGGTAGAGTCTGAATCAAGATGGTGAACAGAAGAGGGTCGAGTCTGAATCAAGATGGAGAACAGAAGAGGGTAGATTCTGGATCAAGATGGTGAACAGAAGAGGGTAGAGTCTGGATCAAGACAAAACCAGAAGAGGGTCGAGTCCAAATCAAGATGGAGAACAGAAGATGGTTGAGTCTGAATCAAGACAAAACCAAAAAAGGGTTAAGTCCGAATCAAGACCAAGACCAGAAGATGGTTGAGTCCAAATGAAGATGGAGAACAGAAGGGTCGAGTCCGAGACAAGACCGAGACCTGAGGACGGATGAATGAAGTCTGGTTTCACATCCGCAGCGCAGTGTTTTCCAGTCCAGAAACACAATAGAACAGTCGGCACAGACCACAACACGTTGTTGCGGTTTTCGATTTAAAATGCCATGACAGGACCAAGACCATGTCAATATGGTCTAGACTCAGTCTTGAGATGGAGTCCGGTCTGGAGTACTATCTACAGCACTGACAGCAGGTTTTTGTGTAGTGAAGTTACAGTCTTCATCTGTCTATTTAAATATACATGACCCAATGCATAAAATATTTGAAGTGCACAATATGCATCACCTCTGTCTTTTGGAGCATGGTCTAGACTCAGTCTTGAGATGGAGTCCGGTCTGGAGTACTATCTACAGCACTGACAGCAGGTTTTTGTGTAGTGAAGTTACAGTCTTCATCTGTCTATTTAAATATACATGACCCAATGCATAAAATAAGTGCACAATATGCATCATCTGTCTTTTGGAGCAATAGCATAATGCAAACTACTGTAGTCTGATTAACGTGTACACACACTGGACAAATTCAAGCTACAATTTGATTATTTAGGTTTCGCAAAAAAAATGGACTGGTATAATTTGAGTTGAACTGAAGTGTTTACATGGCATTTTACCAACTGAAATCAAAATGTTAAATTCACCAATTTCAATTGGTAGCAGAGAAGTGGTAGCTCATTCAAATAACGCAATCAACAATCTCAACTAAAGATTGTAAAGAAAACACCAAAGAAATTAACGAAAAAGTCTTGTGGTCAGAAATTATGCGCATCCAAAAGGATTAACTACCAGTTATTTAATCGAGATAATGTTGAAAAAGCTGAAAAGACAGAAGGCGCGTTTCCATTACCCTTCAAATTGCGCAAATTGAAATTGCGAATTGAAAATATGCCTAAATGGAAATGCGTCAATTTCGCAAAAACAGCCATATAATCGCAAAAAAGTTTTTACACTCGCATGAGGTGGTTTTTCAGGCAATGCACAAAAGGATTAATTTGCAAAACTGCAATGGAAACGGCTTTTTCGCATTTACAGGTCACATGGTATATGTAAAAAGTCATATGATCATTCTTCAAATGTACTATAACCTCCAAGAAACACTTCATAAGTGGCCGCGCTCCAGTATAAGGGGCTTTCCCTACTATTAATACTAAGACAATTTACACTGCACACGTCTGCGGTGCAGTGTGGCTCTGATACGGTCACTGAAGCTGATTGCGGCCACTCAATGCTTGTGTTAATTTTTTTACACAGTCTATGGTTTATTCACGCCACGCACATTTCTGAAGCGGCTCTCTTTGCTGCTTCTGTAAAGATACACGCATAAGCCTCCTTTGAATAAATATAGCCAAAATCCCACCAAAATCCGTTGCCATGACTTATCGCGAGAGGCAAAAGTTTACGTTTTAGCCGCATAACATTGGTTAATGGAAACGCCGCCATTTCGCAATACTTTTTTATCGACATTCAGAAAATATCGCCAAAGTTTTGCGCAATTCTGTAATGGAAACGCACCTAGTGATGCTCAAGGATGTTTCAGTTCACAAGCTTCTACATGCTTCAAACAAACTCTTTTAAGACATTTTCTTAAAGATATTAAACCACAAACCTTGCAAACTTTGTAGAATCAAGCACATGCAGAAGTTCCCCCCTGAAGCGATTTTTATAGCAGTTTGGTAACTTAAATTAGTGATCCTAATACAACTGATGTAAGGTAACAAACTGCCTCATTTGTCTGACAAACTCATTTTAGGTCTTTGATTCTCTACTAATGAGTTGATGACCTGAATCAGGTGTGTCTGATTAAGACGACATGCAAAATGTAGCTCCAGGAACGTGGTTAGGAACCACTGCCTTTCATGACTTATTGTAGAGGACATTTCACAGAGGGGCGATAAAACCCTGCACTCCTCGATTCCCAGAAATTGTTTAGAAGCCAGTCAGCCAATCAGACTTGAACTTGCAATTTTGGAAAGCCAGTGGGACCAGTGCCTCGAGATCTAGGGCTTTCAAACTCTCAAGGCTACAGTGAACCAAGATAGATTTCCAAAAGAATCTGAGGTCCTCGGCACATACTAGGGAAGGACTATGAGGGCCCCTCTGTGCAATGAGCACACCTGTGGATGATTTTGTGAGCAATAAGGCAAGAACGCTTTCAAAAGGTAGGGCTTTCACTTTTTAAAGATGTGGTTACGGATAAATGTATGATGGAGATGCAACAAACAGGTTTATTTTTTAAAGTGCCGGCACAAGCGCTCTGGATGGTTATTCCTCAGCCTGTGTTGCCCCACTGGAGCGCGCACAGATTTATCACGTACTGGATGAGAAGAAAGCCAGGGAGACGGGATGTGAGACTAGGAAGGACTAAATTTGAAGCAGCAGTGGGGGTCCCCGGAGTGAACGGTCATAGAGACAAATATGTTTTTTCATTAGGAATGGAATGGATCCATTCTTCAGTCATGTGACATGGCATGATGGTAATCAGGTGCTATAAAGACACAGACAGAACATATGGGTACAATCCACCCACAAACATGTTTGTGCTGAACAAATCATGCAAATGAAAAGTAGATGGTTTCAATGGCCTGAGATATTACCATCAGCAGTGAATCACTCATTTTTCTTGCTATGCATGACACAGAATTTACCATTTCATCACTTCTAATGTGGTAAAGACTGTCACCAAATATATAACTATATAAACATTTTATACACACAAACACACACGCCCGTGCTATTTTAAAAACTATTATATACTGTATATATATATTTTTTTTTTTTTGCATTTCCATCTCTTATTTTAATTTTAGTTAATGTTTTAGTCATTTTCTTGCAATTAATTTTTAGATTTCTACATAGTTTTTACTTAATTTTTATTTCAGTTTTAGCAGTAGTTATTTTAGTACATAAAACATGCTTATGATTTTTAATGGTTTATGGTTTTAGTTAACGATAATGATCCTGATAAAATGTGATTAATTCAAGTATTACATTTATTATGTAATGTATTTTATAATATAAAATAAAATTTATTTTTTTAACCATAAATATATTCTTTGTATAACTATATATTCTGATCACTCTATATCACTTGAACGTTAAGTAACTGCACAACTCATAGATCATAGAAAGAAAAGAGGAACGGAAAGACTGGGGATGGTCCAAAAAGAAGTGCACAACCTGGATGCCTGCTTTCCTGTGCAGATTAAAGTCTCGTGAAGAAAATAAAGTTTATTGCCTGGAAAGAGGAGGGAGAAGGCATGTAAAAGCATTAAAGCAATGGAGGTGAACAATTAGACAGATGGCCGGGTTTCAGAGGGAAAAAAAAGGACTAGAGAAATAGAGGGAGAGAGCATATATGGACGAAATTGTTCAAGAATTTTATGAGAAAGTCCGACATGCGCACATCTCTTCAAGGGCACGGAAAGAGCAGAGAGATGAGCTTTCTCTGGCGAACTTTAGTGTTTAACGCTGAGTGTGCAAACAGAGCGGAGCAGGTGACAGACCAAAGAGCTCTGAGACGCTGCAGCTGGAAACATAGGCAGCATTAATTCATCGTGGGAAAAGGCTTGTTTTTTAGCTTTTCCCAATTAGTAAGCTACATTATTTTTTTTATGGATATTTTATTCTTGTTTAATTTTTAACATTTTGTCTCTGACGAGAAGAAAAATATATTTTTTTAGAGTATGAATTATATTAATTATATATTATATATTATGCTATAGTATATTACATTACATTATATAAATAATGATATACTTAATATTAATAAAAACAATACATTATTATTATTATTATTATTATTATTATATGATTAGACTGTGCAAATCTAGACAAAAAATAATCTTAAATATTCTTTTCATTTGTTGGTCACTTCATAATCTGCATAATCCATTTATGTTATTTCATAGTTTTAATGACTGTACAATTATTCCAAAATGTGGGAACTATTAATAAAGATTAAGCAGGTGATTGCTGTTGTACGCAGCAAAGAAAATGTATTTGCTCAAATATGATTGGAAATCGTTGCAAATCAGACTTGAACCTGCATCACGAGCGTGTATAAAGAAACGTGGCTATGCAGGCTGACAGTGTCTAAAGCACGCATGGGAACTCTGGGTAATTGATCTATGACAGGAAAGCTCTTCGCTATGCCGTTGTTGATTACACATTCTCATCAGTTTGGGAAATGCCTTAAAATCATTTCACCTAATGGATGGGCTGTTACTCCATCCGTTTCCTGCCTATAGAGGAAGTAGTGCTAATTAAGTGGCCATTCACTCTAATGTGAACAGGATGTAGTTTCTTTCTCAGACACAAAGTAATTAACATACAGTTAAGAGCTTGATTACGAGGTGGATACAAGACTCGACATTACACTGGTAAATATAAAGCTTCCAAAAGGGGGTTTTCACAGCAATGACGAAACAAGATCCATTTTTAGTTCCCTAAAGAACATTTCAGTGAAAAGTTCTTGCAAGAACTATTTCGGCTTTTGAGCAAAAAATATTAAAATGATATATACTAATTTTCTACTGTAAAACAACCTTTTGTTCAGTGGAAATGCTCAATGGATGTTAAAGATTCTTCCACAGATGCCAATAAAGAAACTTTATTTTTAGGAATGTAGCATATTTAATGCATTAGTCCATAAGAGGCTGTACTTTACATTGAATTTACCACAGTAAAGGAAAACTGATGAGGAATTAACCCCTAATGAATCAAACCATTTTGTGAACCTGTTTTACGAATTCAAAAAAAAAAAATTCCAATAAATTGATCAAAAGTGACAGACATTTACATTGCTACACAAAAAAAATGATAATAAAAATACCATTTTATTTTTATTCTGTCATGACGTCCACCAACATATATGTTTTCGTTATGGATAATAATCAGAAATGTTTCTTGAGCAGCAAATCAGCAATGATTTCTAAAGGATCTGATCACAGCAATAAATTACATTTTACAATATCTTCACATAGAAAACGGTCCTTTTAAAATGTAATAATATATATTGAATAATATATATATATATATATTAAAATGATAATAACTGCATATCCACCGCTTTGCCAACTGAAAATGTGGGGTCAATGAGAATAGTTTTTTTTAATAAATTAAAAAATAATAATAATAATTATATCAGCTAACCAGAATTAAAATCTGCAAAAAAAATTTATAACTATGACAGTATTAAAAACATTGTGTTTCGTCAAGCTAATAAGATCAAGTAGAAAAAGTCGAAAAATAAAACGATATGTGAGACCGACTAAGGTTATGAATACAAAACGGAGAAAACGAGCGGAAAAGAGTGAGCGTGTGCGCGTAGCGTTACACAGAAGTCCTGATCTGAAAAGGGCACCTTTTAAAAGCAATTAGACGGGTGACTTTGAGCACCTCATCTTACCTGCTCCATTATTATTTGCCTTTGATGAGCGCAAGTCTTTTTTCCCTCTCCCTCGCTCTCCTTCTTCCTCAAAGAAAGAGAAACGGCGGGAAATTTCAGTGACCTTGCCGTGACCTGACCACACAAAATTGGTCATCAACTTTTAAGACTGTATTTTATCATATATTTTTTTTTAAAGAAGGAGAGGAGAGAAAAATGGCCAGCGTTGCCGCTCCATACATCATCCTGTCACGATTATGACATTCCTTCATAAATACCCTCCAATCTCTGCTCCACCTGGCTGCCTCGCTTTCAGGCCTTCTGGAGGTGGCTAATTACTCCACGTACACAACCCTGCTCCCTCTCTTCCTCCGATCCTCCTGAAACACAGTCGCGCGCAGACAACAGAGAAAAGAGTGCGAGCCGAGACCCTTTCATTCGCACGCGCCAATTAATAAAGAGGCGGCCCCTCTCGAGGGCCGCTGGAAAGTGTCGGCTCAGCACATCGCCAGAGAATATGCAATTTCCTCAAGTTAAGTCTATATTAAATTGATTTCTTCTGTATCTGACAGGGCTTTGGGTCCTTCTCTCTGTAATCTACAGGTTTGCTCTCTCTCTCCCTTTCTCTCCCGGAATCAAGTTGCAAATCAAACAGTTGGAGATATGAAGGAGGATATGGAAGGACACAGAATGATTTTCCAGCTGAGAAACACAAGAGATGAGCACGCATGCGTGAGCTCAATGGGAAGAGAGCGGACGAGAACGGGACGTTCTGTGAAACACTGACTAAAGTGTGCGTTTCTGAACAAATCTGCTTAATCGCAATCGCCCCTGTTTTTTAAAACACATGCATGTCTTATTGATGTGAACAAATTGTATTCATAACCCTTCATCAAAGTGTAATAACTTGCTAAACCTCTGAAATGGGAAAATATAGGTAAATAAAATGTTTCAAAACCAGAAGGGTTCATAAAACATGTAATGTTTTATAACGTTGTTCTATTATATTTTTGACTTAAATTTTCACTGTATTTGAAATCTGGTCTTATTGTGAATGATGCATTCATGCATATTATTGAACAATGGAAAACGTTTGTCTTCATAATATTTTAAGCTAAAATGACTTTCCTTTTCTTAACTCGTGTCACTAAGGCCTCTTAAATTCAAGTGCCGTCCTTTTGTAAACGTGTGTTGCACGTCAACTAAAACAGCTGACTAAATCTGACAAATCTCCTTTTCTGGAACAGCCTCTCCAGGGAAAGTTATTAATAAATTAAATAAATATTTTGTC